GGACATGCAACAGCGGTAAATTGAGCAGTATTTTTTTCTTAATAAATAATAAACAGGTTGTCATCATGAGGCAGGCTGCATAAATAAGCCTGTAGCTCATAGACAGAAAAGAGAAAGCCCCCATTGTTTTATTTTGACTTTTGCTCTAATACACATTTAGGATGATATATTTAGTATATTTGTCAGGCAACATTAAAATACTGGTAGAAAGCAAATTAAAAAGAAATCCTAAATATGCCATACATAAAGTATAAGCATATATATAGAACCTTATTTTAATGGTGACTACAATACTAATGTTAATATTACAAAAAAACCCACCAAACAAACAGCATTGAGGTAGTTTGATTAAAAAAAATGCCAACCTGGAGGCAGTGTGAGCGGACTACCTATTAAAAACAAAAAAGGTTTTCCAATAATGTAAAAAGAGCAGTTAACAAGATGAACATATTGTGGAGTTCAGCGCAGTTGCTCAGCTCCTCACCAACCAATTACAACACTGTCTGTAGTAGAAAAACCTAATTTGCTTTCGAAGAAACACAGCAAAGGCAGCCTACCTCTACTGCCAAGATAAACTACTGAAACCTCTTGTTGTTGACTTAAGCCAGACAAATTTACTGTCCTAATTGGTCTCAGTGGGCAACGCATCAAAAGTGTAAATAATTTCATCAGCAGCTGGCCTGCTCTGTCTTTTGGTATCCTGGCTTTTATTTCATAGTGAAAACTAACTTGTGCCTGCTGGAACGACATTCTGTAATAATTCCCAGAGCACACAATTTTCGCATCAGATAAAACTACTTAATGAGAGGATGACGTTCAATCACAGAGTAACTAGTCTCAGTCTGAGTGCGTGACCAGCTGTGTCTGTTGGGGGTAACAAGTTGCAGATGATGTTTCAGTTGTTGCTGCTGCATGTTCTTTTGGTTTTGTGGTTTAAGGGAATCAGGTTAAACTTAAGGGAAAAGAAAAAGCAAAAACATAGGTTAAAGCAAAGGGGATCATCCCTTCCACCAGGTAAGACTTATGAATGTTGAATTATGCAACAAACAGGTGTATTGTATAATCATGTTTTGCTAAGCACACACACACTGCTTTCATTTGATAAGAGGTCCACATTCAGCACACATACACAGTGTCACTGATGGAGGCACGTATCCAAAACTCTTAATTAGCAAGAAGCTGGTAGTTTGTGTTCATCATTTCAGAGCAGCTGGGAAGGAAAAGGGAAAAGCAGGGAAATTGCAGCTTGACCACAATCACAGAGGACACAGCGGTGCTATTAGTTTTCCAGTGCAATCACATAATCCGATGGCCCAGACATTTGCTTTAATCAGACACCTGGGAAATACATCCATCCCATTTCATTTCATCAGCTCAAATCAATCTCCCATCAGTATTAAATGAATACACTGAGAGCAGAAATCTGGCTGGGCAAGATATTATTACCAAAGGGAAGTCCTTCATTACAGCCTTTTATGGTTGCTTGTCTTTCCTCTATAGAAAGAATCCTTTGTATATATATTGTAGATCCTGTTTGAGAGTCAACTATATCTTTGAAAGCACACATTATGGAATAAGCTGAGCCCACAATGAATCACAGTGGTATTTCTTTTTCATTCAAGCAAGCAATTTAGCAGTTTATGTCACATCAAATGTTACATGTGGCGCTATGGATTTTTACAGTGTAATTAGCAGCTATAGCGTGAACTCGGACTGCTGTATAGCCACATGTAACAGGTAAAGCATGTGCTTTTTATTTATGTTTTTCCTTCAGCGCTTCTCTGTATGGTAGTGTATGTGCGGATGCTGCTGGTGTCAGTGATGCTGAGCGCGCTACACGAGGCGAGTCTTTGTCTGCTCCGGGAAGGCTGGGCTCCAGCTGGCTCCTGCTATGTGTTTGCATGCAGAAGTCAGTGGTTCCCCCAGTACCCGGAGCAGGAGGCGAGCTGTTTGATTGATTGGGATGCACACCACCAACGCCCCCTCCTCCTCCTCACCTCCTCCTCTTGGCTGCACTTGCTTTGGGTGCACATGTGTCTCTCCAGCTCTCCATTTTTTCTTTACACTGACCAGCTTTATCACACACGGGCGTTCATTCAGTAGGTAACAAAGGTGCACGCACACACACACACACACACACACACACACACACACACACACACACACACACACACACACACACACACACACACAAGAAATGGAGAAAAAATAATTAAAAACGAAGAAATACTGCGTGCATGAATGCCTGAGTGTAGATGTTGCATGATTAAGGTTAACGTTTGATGTATATTTTGATGTATGAGCGCACATAAACATCCCAAGCGGCTCCGACATCGGGTTCATTCAGGGCAACGCATTAGCAGTCATTACAGATAACCACTTAGCCAGACCATTCTCTACACTTGGTGTTTCTCTTGCAGAGACTGTGGCATAACTCTAACGAATTCATCATTTTAGACAGAAAGAGAGAGAGAGAGAGAGAGAGAGAGAGAACGCCTGGAATAAACATGTATTTCGAAAGATTTGATGTTTCAGGTGCTTTTCACAACGCATTCGCTCCGGACCAATAAAGTCTTTGTGGAAAGCATGGGGCTGAAAAAAGGACGAAGTAAGGGTGTGTTAAAATCACCGACAGCTTTTCAGGACTCCAGCGACGACCAGCCAGCCAGTGTCTGGTGAACGTGCGTGTGCGTGAAAGTGCGCGCACGTGTGTGTGTGTGTGTGTGTACTGTGTTAGGACCCGCAGCCAACACACACTTAACATTCGTTCGCAACATGGCGTTGAAGCGCCGAGAGACACGACGGCTCTCCCCCGACTAATGCAACCTTATTGTTAGGAAAACCAGGGAGACTGTTAACCAAAGAACCCTAAACATTCTCAGAGACTCCTTTACGCACCGGCGGAGACAATAGCGGATTCCAGCATATGAATGTCGCTATAACGGTATAGCTGTTGTATAGACTCAAGCTGCTACCCCACTGGTGGAAATCAAAGGCTGTACATGGCGGTGGAGAGTACAATTTGGCTGTTCTGTCTTCTTTCGCTGTTTTGTGGTCCATCCAAGCAAGGTAAAGCGCTCACTTAAATCTTCTTCTTCTTTTTTTCTTGTATGGTGCATGTGTGAGCCAGCGGACCTCTCGTATTACTCTGAAGTGCAGTTACTCAGAACATAAGTAGACTGCGATAACAGATATGAGCTACTGGGTGAATCTGCACCTTGCACAGTTTGTGCAATATCCCCTCCGTATTCAGTGTTCACCTCATTTGGCCTCTCTAATCCCCACGATGTAGGGGTGTTTTGTTAGGGTACTTCATTGGTATCTCTCTCAGGACGCGCTGGAAAGCTTTGGCGATGGGAAGTTGCAGCACATTGCCCAAGGAGTAGCCACAGTGTTGTTGAATGTTGCCACAGGGCGGCCAGGGGCTTTGAAGCGACCGTGGGAAGTTTGGGATCCAAACCAGGGAATCGGACTCACAATAACAACATGTGTGATGGGCTTGTGCGTTCAGAAATAGAATTATGTCCTGCAGCACACCACTATTTCATGTTCTGCTGCTGGGGGGGGGGGGGTAACTTTTTCTGTTACGGTGCACTGATGTGCGCAAGGGACGTTATGGTTTCCCCCTCTGCATGGCTCAGAAAAGTTGAGGGAGAGGTTTTTGAAGACAGTGTAACATCATCAAAAGTATTCTACATATTTATAGATTGCCGTATGATCTATAGAAATCTAAAGATGGATGCATCATAATGAATATGATAGCTGTACAGCAAAAAGTTTATTTCCTAATAACTGCTGTGGCTGGTTGAAGAGGAAAATGCTAACAGTGGTGGCGATGAGCCGGTGAGAGACTGTCTGGTCACCGGATTTACATGACAAAAGACCAGCGCAGAACACGAGTGGCTCTTATAAAGTAAAATGCTTACCAGTGGTCAGGAAACAAAAAAGATAGAACATTTGATTTCCTTAAAACTTTTTATTCCAAAGCCCAACTTTCTGATTTTTGTCTAATGACTGTCTAACATGTCAGAACATTTCTGTATGAAATCACTGAGGCAACATTCAGCTCAAGAAGAGCATCATATCAGAATTTCATAATCTGTTTCCATCTTGTTCATCAGAGAGTTTGGATTATAAGATAAACACATGGACTGAAACTGAAATTCTTGCAGAGGATTGGAAATCAGTGGGTACTGTAACTCCTAGTCAGACATGAGAAAGTATGTAACTCCTGCCATGTATGTATGTGCGTGGCAGTGTGGACAGATTAAACATTTTGGGAGCAGGTTAGAGTGGCATGTGAAAGTTTTTTTTTTTTACAATTAGTCAAATCTATAAAAATGCCAAAGACAACACAGATTGATAGGCAGAAAATTGTATTTTTGCAACAGCAAAGTGATTCTGAAAGTGTTATTTGCCACAAAATAGGCATGTCTCAGCATATTGTGGATGCTGTGAAAGAGAAAAAAAGGAGAAGAGGCTGAAGCATCCCAAATTACAGAAGAACTCATATGAAAATTGTTGGTAACAGGTGTTAGGGAGGAAAAACTTTGGTTCGAGTCATCATCATGAATATGTACAGAAGAGGTCAGGAGAGAGGTGTAGCAGTAAGT